AAAACAGTAGAAAATCAAATTAAAAATGGATACATAAAGGATAGATATCGGGATAATAAAGGGATACCGATATGCATTCTTTATGTATTTATTGAACCTGTGTAAGTTACTGGTAATTGCCAATTTGGAACTTGTCGTGAAATTACAAATTGCTGTAATTTACAATCCTGTCAAAAACAGATTAGGTTCAAGTCATATAATAGCTTTGATCCGTGGCTTAAAGCTAAAACTTGACTTAATCTAAATCAGTTTCCAACTGTTGTTGGTGCCAATTTTATTTATGTATATATATATTTTTATATTTCATTATTCATATTAAAACATATATAATGGAATGTGTTTTTACAAAATTAAATAAAATACAATTAACTTAAAATAAATAAGACTTATTTATAGATCAATTTCTGCATTAATGCTAATTATTATTAGATGATCAAATAATTAGCTGTTGACTTGTGAATACGTAACTAATATTTCTAAAAGCTATTTAGAAATCTTACCTGTACAGAAAACTTGCTTTTTATTCGTTTAAAGCTACCAAGCCTATTCAAAAAGAAGACTAGAGTAGAAAATTAGAGCAGAGATTCTAGCACGGATATTAATAGTTTAGATTAGAGATATAGGCAAATTGGCTCAATGATTATTATAACTAGTTATGATATAAGTTATGGCTTAAGTTATGACATTATTGGGACGATTCGTCTGCACCTCTAGTTTAGATCAATTGTTTTTTTTTATATGAGGCCAGTGATCCTGACCACTAATCTTATTAAAAAATACCAATTGGTTTGAATCACTAATATCCTTACAAATGCATCAGATTTTCTATTGTAGTCCCAAGAAAATATTCTCATTTAACTTTAACTGACCTATAAGTAAAACGATCTATATATAAAGTGCATATAAATTTCTTTGTCATATTTTTTTTTTGAATTTGATAAAAATGTGTTTATGATTTTAAAGTTTGTGCATATATTGTTTATATAATATGCGCTGTGCTAATAAAAATCTTTTACTTTGTGTTATTGTTTGTTCAAATAAGTTTGGTAACTAGCAAATCATTTTTTCGTGTATATTACATAATATAGCATTCGTCGAATTTTGAATTTTTTTTCAAATCCGATACCCTCTTAAAACTGATATAAAACCTTTCTACCATGCACACTGGTTTTGACAGGGTATACTGTAGTGATATAGTTATAAAAAATTAACAAAAATTTTAAACTATAATTATTAAAAAATTAAATTAAAAAATTAATATAATTTAGTTTTAAAATTTATTATTTATTCTAGATTATATATATTTATTTCTGTGTATTATTATATAGGTTTTCACTAGTATACCAAAATAAAATATAAATATTTATTTATATATTATATAAATTTAAGAATTGTTATAAAACGCATCTATAGTGTTTTAGCACCTATGTATAATTTCTTTTAATAAAATTTAGAGTTAGGGTTAGGAAATTAAGAATTATTTTTTTTTATATAATATATTATAGAGCTACTATAAGGGCCCGATCTTAGTTCTTATAAGGTTTTTGGGACCTGAACATTTTTACTTTGAGAACCTGATCTCGTTTACTTAGTACATTTTTGAAAAACAGGGCCTATAGTGTAAAAACACTATAGGTGCATTTTAGTAAAATCCTAAATTTAATTTAAAGTTAATAAGAAAATTTTTTCAAAATTTAAATTTTATAACTATGCTAAATTCAGTATTTTGTACTAAATTTAGTATAGCAAACAGATAGCTATTAATCTAAATATTAAAAATGTTATCTCAGTTTGTTTAATATTTATAAATTGTTTAGATTATGAATATAATGAGCATTTAAGCTATCCAAGTTCATAATATTTGCTATTTATACGCATGAATATTGTGCATAAGTATGATAATTTGTGTATTTAAAATCAAATACTCAAGTTCGACAGATCCAGGATGTAGGTGAGATTTTCCGGGTCCGGCCTTCGATCACTCCTCCGATCAATATTCGGGCAAATCCCCTAGTTACACAGTTACACAGATCAAACTATATACAATACAACCCCTTTTTTTTCTTTTTTTTCATTAGTAATTTTTCGTCGTTCATGCTGGTGCCTCTTTTTGTGTATCGTATCACCGTATTG